GGTGGCGAATTGGATTTTTAAAAATTAGTATCACTTAGGAAGGACACGCACGTGGGGGGTGGCGGGGGGGACAATGGTCCGGGCCTCGCAGCCGCTGGTGGGGTACAGGCGCGGGGAATTGCAAGCAGCCCACGGTGCTGTTCAAAGTGTCGCGGGGAGGGGGCAGCCCGGGAGGGCCGGCCGGGAGGATGCGCCCCGGCTTTGTGCCCGTCGCCAAACGCTAAGGTGCAGAAAGAGGCTTCAGAGGGATCCGCAGGGGCTGGACGCCCCCAGGGGCGCGGGTTCCGGGTCCCTGCGGCCCGCCGCGCCCCTCCACTCCCGGGTGGCTGCCGCGGATTAGCCAGGAGGCGCCGGGCTGCGAGTCACACAAGTGTGCTCGGTGACCGAGAAATAATGTGACATTCCTCGGCGTCGCAGGCTGGCTCCTGGGCGGGCCGGCCGCGCAGGCCCGGGGGTCGGGGAGCCGGGGCCCCGGTGCCGCGGGGATCAGGCCTCCCTCCGCCCTGGCGCAGGCCGGGGGAAAAGTGGCACAACAGGAAAGCCTGGCCAGAAGGCCCTTCCCAGGCGGCTTCCTCGCCATAAAAAGCCAGACTCCAGCCGAGGTCCTGACCCCTTCCAAATATACATTCCCTCGCCCGCGGCCCGCCACCCGGCCTTTTCGCGGCTTCCTCCCCGCCTAGCCGGGCCCAGAGTCGGCCGACCCGGCGTGGTGGGAGTCGGAGAGTCCAGTTTTCAGCAGCCCCCACGTTGCCACCCGCCCGTTGCGGACCCATTGCCTTCTCCGGGTCGGGGACGCGTTTTTTTCCTTCGCGTGCGCCCTGGGCGCATTGCACCTGGGCGGAACCGGGGCTGCGGACTTGAAATGTTCTTCTGGTCCTTCACCCCGGGGCGCCATCGGCAAGTCCCTGGAGGTCCGGGGAGGGGGAGTGGAAAGGGTCCGGCGGTGGGCGCAGGGTCACGTGCGCCCGGTTTGACGGGCAAAGCGCGCGCACGCGCCGGGAGCCGCCTGGTTCCCAGAGCCGGGCGCGTCGCAGCGGCCCCCTCTCCTGGGGTCCCGGTCAGGACCTGAGAGCCCGAAGGTCTAGAAGCTCGGACCCAGGTTCCCAGAGCTAGTGGGCAGCGACCCGGGCCAACGGAGGCCTCCCTACTTTTCAACGGGCCCCAGTGCCATTAGCCTTAGGGCCGGGCGCGCACACTTCGGCCCCCGAAACCAGAGATCAAAAGGGGGGCGCCCGCTGGGTGTGACCCCCTGACCTGGGAGGAAGGGCGGGGAGCAAGGAGAGCAAGCGAGTGGCGGGGCCTGGGGTCAGCCGGCGGTCGTAGTCCTCCTGGCAGACGAGGAAGCCAAGGCCGGGTGGGGCCGGGCGGTGTGTGAGTAACCGGCCTTGGGGCCCGCGTCCTTGGCGGGGATCACCTGGGTAGGACCCCCTCAGGGGCTGTGCACGAGGGGAGAGAAAGATGCAGTCAGGGAGCGCCCCCTTCCCACTCTGTGACCCGGCCTGCGCCCCACATCAGACCCCGAGAGTCCTAAAGAGAGAGGGTGGAAGATGGGAAACACCCCCACCCCCCACTCTCTGGCCAGCTGCGAGGGGCTTTCTGTTCCACTTGTCCTGCCGCTGGAGAAAATTCTCATTTTTTTTAGGCATCCCTCAGACCCAGAGGTTTTGGCGATGGGTGGGTGGTGTGTGGGGACCAGTGGCCCTGTCTGGGGCTTGAGGCTGTGAGGGTCGGCCCTGCGCACACAAGGGCCTTTTTGTAAAAGCCGGGTGGGCACTGTCCTCCTGGTATGACCCTACCACTACACCCAACCTTCAGCATCGCCCAGGGCTGGGGAGCAAGTGGGAGCTGCCACTTGTGGGGATTTGACTCAGCACCGAGAAGGCCTCGGGGGGGGGCCTTCCCGGACACAGAGCGGGCGGAGGGGGGCTTTGAGGCGTCTTCTTGGAGCTTAGCAAATTATTGATGCGCCGTGCTTACCTTGAAGGGTGTTCTGAAGGGAAATAGCACAGCACCGCCCTCCTGCTGGAATCACAGAGAAGCCCACCCCAGCACACAGGGGGCCCCCCCGCAGCGCCGATGGGGGGCGGTCTGGGGGAAAGGCACTGGATACACAACCTAGAAGAGGAAGCTCCCACTGCCCAGTTGCTTTAGAGACACCGTCGGGGGTGGGGGGGCTCAGCTGGGAGCCTTTACCTTGGCATCAAGGGAGCACCAGGGGGGGACCCAGGGCTCCACTTCGCTGGAGCATCACTGCCTGAGGGACTTGGGCATCTCTCTGAAGGTCCCCCTGTGCGGGCGGGACCCTGGCCCTGGTCATCCTCTTGGTTTATTGTGGGCACAAGCCCTGAGCTGTCTGTCTTCCTGTAGTATCTGGGTGTGTAACAGAGGTGGTTGTCCCCACCCCCCCCCAAACAAAATTTAAAAAGTCATTTTCTTCTCTCTAAAATGAATAGCCAAAGCTGGCAGAGCCGGAATAAAAAAGGAGTGAGTGTGTGCATTGTGTGTGTGTGTGTGTGGGGGGGGCTTTGTTGGCTGAAATTGAGTGGAGATTTAAGGTCAAAAAATACTTTGGCATAAAACTGACAGAGCAGCCTTCGAGGGTGCGAGGGGCCCAGGGAAGGGCGCTCGAGCCCCCTTGGTCACCTCTCCTCTCGCCACACGTTTTCATAGTTGTCAGAACCCCCTTGCCCCCCCCAACCCCCCTCCCCACTCTGCCGGGCTGGCCAGGGGGAAATCAAATGATGAGGAATTAAAAGTTAGACGCCCCCCCCCCCCCCCCGCCACCCGCCTAAAAGGAAGGAGAATTGTCTTGAAGGATGTCGGAATGAAACTGCTGTCTGGGAAGACTCAGCAAACCTCTTCCTCCTCCTCTAGGACACTCACGGGGAGAGCCCAGTGGCTGGAGAGACCAACCTCCAGTGAGGGGGGCAGGCTGGAGAGAAGGTCCAAGCCCTCCTCTCCATCCTTGCTCCTTCAAGGGGAGATGCACGTAACTTGGCCTAGCGCTTCCCGGACCCCCAGTCCCTTCAAGCTCCACCCGGAGGAGGCTCTCCTGGTCCTCAGTGAGCGCCTGTTAGTTAGGACTTTGGGCAAACAAGCCAAAAACCCTTGAAGGAGGCAGGCCTGTCTGTCATCCTGGACCGACCTGGAGTGGCCTCTCCGTGCAGATGGGGACGCGGGGCAGGGCTTAGGGGCTCCGTGTGCACCGGGAGCATGCCGTGTCTATTTCCGAGGTGTGTGTGTGTGTGTGTGTGTGCATGTGTGCGTACGTGCGTGTGCGTGTGTGTGTGTGTGTGAGTTGGGGGTGCTTGTGAACTGTGCTTTGCAGATGCGTGTGAGGGGCTGAGTCTGGGAGCCAGGCGTGTGTGTTTTTGTGAGCGTGGGTTTGCACGGGGGCGCCGAGTCTGTCTGCGGGTCTGTTTGTGAGTGTGAGTCTGTGCCCACACGGGCCCGCTCAGCCCGGAGGCCCGGCCTTCCAGGCCCCATCTGGTTCCAATTAGCAGCGTCCCGATGGGAGCAGGCCCCTTCCCGGGGCAGCTTCTGAGAACCGGGTGGGCTGGCTCAGGACGCCCCAGTTCTGCCGGAGCGGTGGGGCCGGGGCTGGCCCGGCGAGCATGCGTGCGCAGGGAGCCCCCCCCCGGGCAGCTGCACAAAGGACCCTCTCTCCTCAGCCGGCCCGCACGGTCTGGGCCCGGGGTCCTCCCCCGGATCATAAACCTGCCGGGAAGACATTCAGCGACCGTTCACTCACTCTCCCGAGCATGTGCAAACACTGGAATTCCATTTGCTATAAAGTTCTTTTTTTTTTTTTAATTTCACTTGGATAGGGGCCGGGGTGGCGGGGGACACTGGACTCATTTGTTCTAGAGTGAGAACTTGCATTTCAGGTCGAGGAGACACCTGCCCGCCGTGCGGGGGAGGGGGATGGCCACAGCGGGTCCACCTGTCCCGGCCAGGGCCGGACCCTCGGTGAGCAGAGCGCGCACACACACATGGGCGGCAGAGCTGGGCCGGCGCCGGGCGCTCTCGGGGCGGGCTCGGCCGGAAACCTTGCTCTTAGCATAGTCCACTCAGTGCTGGTGTCCTTCAGAAGCCCAGTGCCCGGCCGACATTTCTTTGGCCACTTCAAACACGCTGGTTGAATAAGAAATCGAAATTAGGCTTTTGAAAGTGGTCTGGGACCAAGAGGTGGGAGGTGAAGTCGAGAGGGTCAGTGATTCCAGACACACAGACACACCGATGCGCGCGCGCACACACACACACACACACGCAAGTGTGCACACACACATGAACACAGCCAGGGGACCCCTGGGGGGGCTCTGGCATGAAATACTCCCAAAGTCCTTTCCGCTGCTCCCCCCCTTCCCATCCTCTGTCTCCTTTTGTGACGGTGGAGTCCCGGAGGGTCAGTGGAGACCAGTCCTGCAGGCCGGAACTGGGCGTCCAGATGGAGGGGCGAGTGGCCGGTGGTCACCGGGTGGGAGGAGGAGGCCTGTCCCAGAAGGGACAGCCGGGAGAGAGACGGGAGCGCTCCGGGGGGAGTCGCCTGCAGGAAACCGCCTCACGGCAAGCCTGGCGTTTGGGAATTCTGTTGGGAAGTGGGGAAGGACAGACTTGCAGCTGCTTTCCTAGGTTGGAGGGAGAAACCATTTTCTTTCTTTTATTCTTTTTTTTTTTGTAAATTAATAAGGACAAGGTAAATGCTGCTTCATCAGTGATTTTTAATAAGAAAAGAGAGAAGAGAAGAGAAAAAAAAAAAAACAATTTGAAAGCCCCACAATTTTCAGTTGCCCAAGGACACGGTTCCCAGGAAAGTGACCCTGTGATTAAAACATCTCGTTGATTTCACAAAACCGTTCGGAGCGGGGCCCGGGCTGCCACCGAGAGGAGTGGAGACGAGACCAGAGGCTGGACGCCGCTTCCCGGCCGCGGCGAACCCCCGGGCCCGGGGGGCCCACAGAGGCCACCAGAGGTGGGGCAGTGGGAGCCACCCCCGACGGCCGGACGCTTGCTCAGGCGTTCGGGTTGTTCCGCATGAGCTCCACGTCGGCGTCCACCATCTCCCTCACCAGCTCCTGGACATGGAGACGCAGACGGGCAGTGAGGGTGGCATCTTCCGCCCGACTTTGGGGTGACCCGGACCCTCCTTCCCTCGCCTCCTTCCCCTGGTCCCATCAGCCTCCTGTTCCCTGGGGGCACTTTGGGAAGGCAACGGGCGTGTTGGGGGGTGGTTAGCCCCCTGCCCTGCCCACCTCTCCCGCCCCGTGGGCAGCCCTCCCGGCCCGGCAACACCCCCCCCCCCCAGCAGCCAGTGGACACTCACATCAAAAGCCACGCGGGGTTTCCAGTTCAGCTTCTGTTTCGCTTTGCTGCAGTCTCCTTGGAGGAAGTCCTGGGGATGGAGAGAGAGAGTTTGGGGTGTGGGTGTGGTGTGGTGTGGGTGGGTGGGGGGGTCCCTGCTTCCTGCCTGGGCGGTGGGGTCCCCCGGGGGCACGTTCTGACTCCCGGACGGAGCCCGTAAATCCAGAGGCGGGCTGAGATGGTGGTGCTGAGAATGTGCTGTCCCCGGCGGCTGGCCGGCGAGGACCTTGACCGCTGGGCCCTGTGTCATGCCCTGGCCGGCCACCCAGTCTGTCCCACACTCCCCCAGTCCTCCCACCCACTCCCACCCCACCCCCCCGGCCAGACCCCTCCGCCGCGTCCCTCCATGGTCCCTAAGGCGCGTCATGACTTTTCTTTTTTCCTTTTCTCAGCTACATTAAGTTGTCAGGGACGCTACCGCGAGCGAGAACTGTTTTGAATTACTGCGCTTCTCAGGCCAGACGGGAGCAAATCCCCACACCCCCTTCCACCTCCCCGGGCCCCCCCCCACCTCCACCGTATGCCCCATTCCCAACAGCCCATGCCTCTCATGGAGGCAGGACTCGAGCCGGTGTGGGCACCCGGACTCGCTACTGTACCCCTCTTTTCTCCCTGCCGCCCTGGGGCCGGTCTCCCCCAGAGAGGGAGCAGTAGCACCCCCAGGCCCGAGGGGACCAGCTCCCTGGCAGGCTCCAGAAACGAAACCGAAGGTTCCCAGCCCCAGCCCTCGGAACCCTGGGGGGGCGGGGAGAGAGGGGGGAGTCGGGGCTGTCCACAGCCCCTGGGCTGCACCTGACCGTCCTCAGCGGTCCACGGCCCCTCCGCCAGCTTTGCCCAGGCACCGCCAAGGCCCCGACCAGACAGATCTGCCTGTCAGACCCTCTGCTGACTCCAGGCCCCCGCTCTAAACCCACAGTAGCCAGCTTGTGTGGCGGTCACTGCACAGACGCGGATTCGAAGAGTGTCTCTATCCCCTCTCTCAGAGGGAAAAAAGGGGTTTGGGGGTGTGTGTGGGGGACCCCAATCCTGCCTCTGAGCTCTGCGGCTCTGGGAATCTTGGCTGAGGAGAAAGTCCAGGCAACATCAGATGCTTTGCAAAAGGAAAAGAAGGCAGGGTGGGCAGGAAGAGAGGAAGGAGAGAAAAAAGGAAAAAGAAAGTTCCTGGGGTTGCGGGGGGAGAAACACACGGCTTTCCCACTGCATTGAGCAGAGACTTTCACTGGGCCCTCTCTCAGGGGCCGTAACCAAGCAGGAGGCAGTTGAAAATAGTGTTTGGATTTATTATTTCTTTCGGCGGGACGGGAGGGCAGTGTCTACGCATTACGCTCCTGGGGGTGTTTCAGGAACCTCTCTGCGGTGTCAGTGATCACCCCAGGACCAGGCGCGTGCTAGGCAGGCTTCGTCCCCCCCGAGCCCCATCTCTCAGCCTTAAACATCCTCCATAGCCCACTCCGATGCTGTGTCCCCCCCCCAAAACACACACCCCACTTTACAGAACAAGCCCAGACCCGGCGAAGGAAACTGGAATCACACAGCAAGCGAAGCCTTCCCCGCCGGCCGGCTTTGAACTCCCCTGAAACTTTGCAGGCAAGGGGACATTAGCTTCCTGATGGGGGTGATGTCCAGGAGGGATGGACAGCCCCCCCCGCCGGACTCACCCCTGTAGCAAGCCCCTCCCCCCTACCCCCCGCACCCAAAGGGATGCAATCGCCATGGGGGGGTTCGTTCTGTGTCTGGACTTGTGTTTGCCACCAAGAGTACTCAGCACCCCCCGCCCGCCCGCCCCCCCGGCTGGCCCCCTCCGTGGGCTGGACGCAAACCTCCAAAGGTCCCGCATTTCACAATGCAGTGAAGTACGGATTTCCTCTCCAGAGTGTTAATAATAGTAAAACAAGCTATTTCTGCCGGCCCTGGAATTCCATATACAGCTACTGTAAGACACGCAGGATGCAAAATATTTCATAATTAGCAATTTAACACCGGGCTCCATGAAGCCGGAAGTAGAAGGGGGGAAAAACAAATTAATTTCTTTCTTTTTTTTTTTCCTTTCCTTTCCTTAAAACAACTTGTATATGCTTGTACAATACTTCTCTTTGACTCGCTGAGTTGCACAAAGATAGCCATTCTTCTTGCCCACGGGGAGCTGTGAAGGGTGACGCCATGACCCCCCCACCCCCCCACCCCCCCGCCCCGACTCTATATAGCCCGTCACCGCTTGGAGAAGCGTGGTTATTGTTGAATCACAGAACCCTCGCTGTAAATCACGCCGGGCCGCGTGCGAGGCAATCAATCCACGGCGCTGGAGTTCCGAGTGAGCAAAACCCGAAACCTCACTCGGGCTCCCAAGCCTCTGGGAAGGCTCGGGGAAGGAGGCTTTGTCTTGTAATTATGTTTCCCGTATTTTTCTACAAGTAGCTCATAATAGGAAAACAACTTGCGGGGGCTGGGGGGGGGAGGCGACAATTAAGGAAGAAGACAGATGGGTCTGCCGAGCGGAGCGGGACACAGACGGTGCTGCCCTACGCTGCGAAGGCATTTCATTGAAACCAGAGACGCGCCCAGTTCAACTTCCCAATTTAGTCTCGAGCCCCGATCCGACATTCCAGCCTCGCAGCTCGCCCCAGCCTTTGCCAAGGCCCCGGCGCCCTGAAATCTAATTAGACCACGAGACCCGGGACGGGACGAGGCCGCGAGGAAGCCCGCAGCAGCCCGGCCGCGCTAGGCCACAGGAACGCGTCAGCTGTGTGTGCGTGTGCCTGTGTGCTTGTGTGTGTGCCTGTGTGTGCATGTGTGTTCTTGTGCGTGTGTATGTGCTTGTGTGTGCTTGTGTGCTTGTGTGTGTGCGTACATGTGTGCTTGTGTGTTCGTGTGTGTGCTTGTGTGTGCATGTGTGCTTGTGTGTGCATGTGTGTTCCTGTGCGTGTGTATGTGCTTGTGTGTGCACGTGTGCTTGTGCGTGTCCATACATGTGTGCTTGTGTGTTCGTGTGTGCTTGTCTGTGTGCCTGTGTGCTTGTATGTGCATGTGCCTTCTTGTGCGTGCGTGTGTTCGTGTGTGTGCTTGTGTGTGTGTATGCTTGTGTGTGCATGTGTGCGCGCGTGTGTCTATGAGCTTGTGTGTGTATGTGTGTGTGTGCTTGTGTGCATGTGTGCTTGTGTGTACGTGTGTGTGCATGCACATGAATGTGTGTGTGCATGTGTTTGTGTGTGTGTGTGTGCATGTGTGTGTGTGAGCTGGTGCCCGCCCCGTGTCCAGGACCGCTGCTGGGCCTCTCCCCCTGGTGTCCGGCTTGCTGAGGGCAGGATCCCCGTGGGGGAAGCCAGCGTGTGTCTGGGAACGGCCTCGGCTGCGGGAAGCCTCCTCCAACCCTGCCCTCGCGGACACAGCACCTACGGGAGCCGCTGGCCTGTCCTGGCCGGCAAGGGGCCGGCGGGGAGCCAGGGAGGGTGCTCCCTGCGTGTGGCCTTCCCCGGGACAGTCTCTCCTCCCCTAACGGGCCCGAGGGCCACACGTGCCGGCCACAGGGGCCCACAGCAGAAAGCAAAGCGGGCGTGGGGGGGCGCTTGGTGTCCGTCTCCGGGCGCCCCGAGCACTGGGTGGTAGCACTGGGTGGTCCAGGACGTTGCCTGAAACAAAACAAAAACGCGGAGGGAAGCGCTGAGAAAAATGCCAGGCATTTCTATGAGGATGTGGCGCTTCCTGAGCCGGCTTTGGTGTCCTCGGGCCCGGCCCCGCCGCGCCTTAGGTGAACGCTACGGTTTCAGCGCGTGATTTATTCTTGTCAGATTCAATTAGGCCTCACCCTGCGCCGCGTTCTCCAGCAGCAAGCGGCCCGTGGGCCCCGGGCCCGAGCCCCTTCCCCGGGCGCCCCCCAGCCCCACTACTGCGAGGGGCTTCTGTGAGCCTGCGACGGGGGGTGGGGGGGAAGCCCCTCCAGCCCCGGCTGCTGGTACCGGGTGGTCTGAGGTGGGCCCGGGAGGCCGCCTCCATCAGGCTTCTGTTCTCGGTAGGAGCGTGCGGGGAGCAGGCCAGACCCCAGCCTGCAAAAGCCATCAGGCCGGTTCCCGCGCTCACAGGAGTTAACACAAAATCCAGGGACGGCGTGGCCCGCTTGCGCCACTCACTGGGCTCCCCGGCCTCTGCTCTCCCCAACAAGCCTTTTCATCTCCACCGAGATAAGGCCCATCTCTAAATGACACCGGCTTTTCTTTCATTCGGATCGCGATTTCACACATGAAATGCCTTTGATAGCCACCCACTTCCCCGCCCCTCCTCGGGGGGGAAGCCGCTGCTATTAGGCAGATGGTATCGCCAGGCCGGCTCGCGCGAGGACGGTCAGCTCAGCGTCTGACTTCCCTCTCTCCCTTTCCTTGGGGTTCCAGAGACAGAAGAGAGGGGGGTGGGTGGAGGTAGGTAGGTGGGGAAGGATTAAGGGGGGAAAAAAAAGGAGAGAGATCCCGGTGATTTGGCGGGTGCCCGTGTGTCTCCCGACAAGCGGGGCTTGGGGGGAGGCTGGCTCGGGCCCCGCGTGTGGGCGGAGGGCGCGTCCCGGGCACGCGAGCTCTCTGGCCAGGGCACCCGTGAGTCGCTGATGTGCTCGGGTTCTGGCGGGCCGGGGTCGGGGGTCGGGGGGCAGGTTTGCTGAGGGCCGAGTTCCCAAGGAAAGAAAGAAAGCGGGCGAAGCCGCCCTCAGGACGGAAGCGGGAGCTCACGGGGCGCGCACGATACTCGCCTTCGCCCCCCCACCCTCCTGGCCCTGCGCTTTCAGCAAAAGCAAAAAAATTGTGGGTTAGCTCCGGTTCCCAGGGAGTCAAAGAACGCCGGCAGACTCGGTTCCCTGTTGAACTCTCCGAGCTGACACGGAGGGAGGCAGAAAGCGGTGCTGGGCGGAAAGACTCCAGCCTCGAAAGACGGGACCGCTAAAAATAGATGGATTTCTGTATGAACGTGTATCTCACGTATATAACATATACGCACATGCACACCCCCTCACCCCCCCAAGCCCGACGGTGCGGTCAAAGGTGGGAAGCC